TTTCTGCTGCGGAGCTGCTGCCAGCCCTATTTTGCCTTTGATAAATACAATACAATAAACTTAATGGATTCCATCCACTGAAACGTGGGAGAGTTTCTTGCTCTCAGACGCAGGCAGCGTGGACCAGTGATTAATCCCTGCCCCCTAAACCCTTTCTTATTTCCCTCACCCTTCTTTCCCATAATACCCCTTCATCCCTCAACCGCTTCCCCTCATCCCTTCATCCCTCCATCCCACGACCCTTTCCCCAATCCATTCACCCTCCCACAGAATACCACATCCTATGAGTATGAAACGTGTTGGTGAGAGACAAAGAGCATGGAAGAGCAGGAGGGATTGAGATCCCTCTCCTTTTGTGTGCTGAGGTTGAGGCCAAATATGTGTGTATGTGATCTTAGCTTAACGGTGCCCGTAAAAGGGCGTTAGTTGCATGCAAAGACGGTGTCTGTGTGAAGCATAACATTAAACTAACATCACCTTAGCACTGTCTTAGAGAATATAGTTACTATAGTAGCCTGCGTTAATCAAATCAACAACCCTATACAATAACCACAATAACCTGAATAAAACACATTAGTAACATTAACAGTAATTAATTATTGTTGTTGCTGTGCACCTGTCTGTCTCTCTCTCTCTCTCTCTTTCTCTCTCTCTCTCTCTCTGTCTCTCTCTCTCTCTCTCTCAGCCCAACTGGTCGAGACAGACGACCCCCCACCTAGAGCCGAAGGATCTGTCCTAGGTTTCAGCCTTTTAACAGGCAGTTTTTCCTTGCCCTTGTCGCCAAGTGCTTGCACATGGTGGTACTGTTGGGTCTCTGTAAATAATGTTATGAAGAGTTCAGTCTAGACCTGCTCTATTTGAAAAGTGTCCTAAGATAACTTCTGTTATGAATTGGCGCTATACAAATAAAATTGAATTGAATTGAATTGAAAATGTTACTAGAACATGAAAGTATAAAACGTGATACTTCCTGTTGCCACTGGGTGGCGCTCTCACTATTACTGAATATTATCACATAGATGTGTTCAGGGCGGGACTCTTAACAAACATGTGAAGTTTCATTGCAATCGGATCATGTACGCTGAAGTTATGACAAAATCCCTCTTTCATGGCGAAGGTTCAAAATTGGATGCCACAGGACGCAACGCCACGTGCACGCTGTTCGACGGAATGTCGTAAATATCTATCTATAATCTGAAGTTGATTTGATATATTCCCTAGGAGGAGTTTGTTCAAATACAACGTGTGCAAATTGCCAAAAATGGCCACCAAATCCAAAATGGCCGACTTCCTTTATAGTTTGAGGTATGGGTCCAAGAGGCTTTTCTGCTTCTTTTATCACGATACACATGCGTACAGATTTTCGTGTATGTTGGCCTTACGTGTCTTGGGGGCAGATTCGGGGGAGGCGAGGCTTAGCCATCTGGCGGCGCCCGTGCACGGGGACGATTACATACGTGAATTTTCGTAACGTTTGAATTTTGTGCAAATTTCCTTGACTTTTTGAGCATGTTGCAGCCGCCAAATATGCAGTAGAAGACGGAGAAAAATAATAATTCCTAGAGATACAAGAATTTAGTGAAGCTTGATGCAGCTACTGGCTGCCACGTCTGCATGTTGCCATGAAAGCAAAAAACACACCTCCCATGAGATTTCAGTGCCAGTCAACAGTCAAACAGGTTTTAGTACGTAAACAGTGTGACTTTGCACCCTTGTGTTCACATCAAATGGATGACAGGCCAAGCTTAACCAGCACAACTGAGTCTCTCATTAGATACAGATAAAGTGACAAATGAAGTGACCAGAGATGACAACTTTGCTTCAAAATAAAAAGCCCTCAACAGCAGCTATGGCAGCAGAAGCAGTCCACACCACAGTCACAGCTCACAATAGGAATACGAGGCATTTGATTTGCAAGCCACATTAACTCATTTCCTCTTGTCTGCTGTTCTGCCATTCCTTTCCGTCTCCGTCCTTTACAATTCAATTCATCTCTGGTTCCTTCTTCCCTCACCTTCCTTTACATTCATCTTCTGTTTCACTTTCTGTTCCACTATCCATCATTTTCATTTCTCTTCGCTTCCTTTGTGATGTTTTGAAAAACAAACAACAGGCAATAATGAGGCAGCTCACAGATTCATCCAGAGGTGTGGATGTCTGTGTGGGGTTGTTGAAATAAACTGTCAGCCCATGGCTGCCCCTCCCTCCTCCCTCCTGTCCTGTATCTCTCTGTCTGCTGCTGCTGTTTGCAGCTGGCAGGCACACACAGGTAGACCACAGGATTCATATCATAACGGTAAATGTTGTTATCTCTGTTATAGTGTATGTAAAATTGAACCATCTCTATTCAAAGTCATTTTGGAGTTCCTGGGATGCAAATTTGAAAAGAAAATTTAGTGGGAATTCTGTCTGAGCACACATTGCATAAACAAAAATAATTAGATTGGCTGCTCCACAGGCTCTTGATTCACCAACGGTCTCCAATTAATATTTAATAACTTTGTTTCTATTCTGCCTGGCAGCTGAACAGCTCTGCACGGCATCTCATTACATTATGTGACCTGTACAGTTCTTTGATTCTATTCACTCCGTAGGCGAGAGGACTGTAACCTACATACCTACAACGCTGGCTACAAGAATAGAATGTGTTTGCTCAACATCAGCCAGCCAACTATTAACCTAAATGCTAAGGATAAACACTTAGCGTACCTTGCTCGGACATGATTTAAGGATTATCAGGGCATATATATGTCCAAAATAAATATGTATGTATGAGACAGAAGTCTGTCTCTTCTGGGTCAATGTACTGAGTCTGCGGAGGACAGGACAGGAAATGAGGCACAGATACTGTATGTGTGATATGGAAAGTTTTGTGAAATTTTTCATCAATACTTATAATTATGTAATTTATCAAAAAGGTAAGTAGTAAATCGACCTGTACTTGTATAGCACCTTTCTAGTCAGTTCCAATTACTCAGTGCTTTTACACTACATGCCATGTTTGCCCTTTCACATAGCACATTCACTCAGTGATGCCCATCAAAGAGAAACTAACTCATGCACACACCAATGCACAGGAGTTCAGTATCTTGCTGAAGGATACTTTGATGTGCGGGGGGAGGAGCCAGGGATTGAACCAACAACCCTCTGCTTAGTGGACAACCGGCTCTGCCTCTGAGCCACAGGCACCCTCTTATATAGTGCTATCTAGTTTTCTGACCACTGAAAGCCATCACACTACATGCCACATTCACACACATTCATACACTGATGCCAAAGCCCATCACAAATAGAAACTAATTGATTCATACACCAGTGCACATTGGGAGCAAACAATTTGGAGTCACTCATTCCCGTTAATCAAACTCAACACAAATTAATTATTGAAATAATTTTAAAATAAAAAGTTTGAGTGCACTTAAATTTGTGCAGTATTTTAAGTATATATAATTCCAGTTTGTTCCATTGACTGATTTTCTTTAAGTTGGCTTTACATCCTTACACAAATGTAAGTCCCACTATAATGCTATATAGCTTAGGATTTATACAGAGTATAACTCAACACATGCCCAAATATGCATCCAAATCATTCTTAATGATGCCCCAAAGTGTAAAAATGTAATGCTAGTCACATCAGAATAAGGCTATTGTTATTAACTCAATTACAGAAGTAATAATTAGATTAGTTGATCCACAGAAAATTAATTTAGATAATTGATTAATTGTATAACATTTTCAAATAAAAATCAGTTCATGTCATTGTCAAATGTATAGATATGTATATTTTTCTTGTCTAAGAAGTAATTGGAATAATTAACAATTAAGTAATTGTTGCATACTTAAACTTTATTAACTTCTTATTTGTATTTGGGAAACTGAGATTATTGCTGCCCATAATGTGAATGTGAACCTGCTGTCACCTCTTTGTCTTTGCACACAGCACATACAGACTGAGTGACTACAGTCACATGGCGTTTTTTCTTTCGGTTAGCTGATGTTAATATAACTGATGTTGGAGTTCATGTTAATTTTAAAGCGCCCAATAAGGGAACAGCCGACTAACCAATAAGGGAACAGCCGACTAAACCATATTAAAAAGAGAATAACCATGAAAATATTTTAGCTCATACACATTTACATGTCAGGTCTCGGGGATTGAAAAGTGAAGTTGGCAAGAAAAACCTCTTCATTCGATCGGTGGAAAGAGTAATAGTAAATTTAAAGCCATGAAGATGAACAAAAATGAATTATATACAAATTAAATTGAATTGAATTGAATAATGCACACAAATGCAGAGAACACAAAAATGCATCAGACTATGATGTAGAAGTCGTAGTGCAAAATGTCTAAAATGCTTCCCATGACATTGACATTGAACAGAATCCAGTAGAGCTTTCAGATGAAAATGAAACTGCCCCAGAAGCAGGCAGTAGCACTGCGGGTCTGCACATCTACAATGTACAATCTGGCTGCCTTCTTCTGGAAAATGCAAACTATTCTCCTTCCCCAAATTGTTCCCGTCTTCCTGCAAGCAGCTACAGGTGCATCTGCTCCAGGAAGGCTTTCTAGTATGACAGGCATCATTATTTTAGTTAAACCAGCAATTAAAGTAGCTATTAAAATGTACATGATAGTGTATGTAAGGTATCACACAAATTGCACATGTATATAGGAAATTTGTTAGATTTTTCTTGGATATTGAACCAGCAGGTAACTTTACAATACAATATATTAATATATTATGTATAATTCAACAGTCCCTTTGAAATACCAGGGTAGTAAACTGTCTTGACCTCTTGAGTCACAATTGCTTGTTCAAGTGATTATTTTGTCAGCTCCCTGCTTTTTTTTTAAAATAACTGATTTTGTAAAGAAAAAGTAAGTAAGTTAATGTGAACCAACATGAGTGTGTCTGAGAAGGGACAGAGCAGAGGGTTTTTTTTCTTGTCTCTACACTCCAAACAAACCATTACAATAAAGTGGATATGATGAGGCTCACCTGTAGTAGATGATAGGTGGGTTGGCTTTGGCGGCGCAGTGGAATCTGACTAGGTTTCCCTCCAGAGCAGGCTGCGGCTCCATGGTGAGGTTGACAATGGGCAGGTCTGAGAGAGGGGAGAGATCATCGTTTCAACGTCATTAGTACCTAGTAAAGAGTTACAAATCTTACATGATTCTTATTTTCAGGTTTAGTTTACAGATATTCAAGATAAGATTACACTGAAGGCAAAAGTGTCTGCTAATCCTGTCATGGAAAAAAAAAATGTGTTGTAAAAAAATAAAGCAGCCTTTTGGCAACTTGGAATTTGGTTGGCTCAAAGATATAGGTAACAAACAGCTCTTCAATTCAATTCAATTCAATTTTATTTGTATAGCGCCAATTCATAACAGAAGTTATCTCAGGACACTTTTCAAATAGAGCAGGTCTAGACCAAACTCTTTAAAACATTAATTACAGAGACCCAACAGTACCACCATGAGCAAGCACTTGGCGACAAGGATCGACAAGAACCTGCGAGACGAGAAAGCACAAGAACTCCGGGGAAGAAGTGAAGTTAGTAACATGCATTAATGGGACATGAATGAGTGCAGAAAGAGAGAGAGAGAAAGAGAGGAGCTCAGTGCCCCATGGGAAATCTCCTGATAGTCTAGGCCTATAGCAGCATAACTAAGGGATGGTTCAGGACTCACCTGATCCAGCCCTAACCTAAGCTTTATCAAAGAGGAACGTCTTAAGCCTACTCTTAAATGTGGAGAGGGTGTCTGCCTCCCGAACCACAACTGGAAGCTGGTTCCACAGGAGAGGAGCTTGGTAACTGAAAGCTCTGGCTCCTGTTCTACTTTTAGAGACTATAGGAACCACAAGTAGCCCTGCATTCAGAGAACGTAGTGTTCTAGTGGGGTAATAGATATGAAGGGGCCTGATCCTGAAGAGCTTTGTAGATGAAGAGGAGGATTTTAAATTCTATTCTAAATTTTACAGGGAGCCAGTGCAGAGAAGCTAGTACAGGAGAGATTAGGGGCGGCTGTGGCTCAGAGGCAGAGCGGGTCGTTCCTTAATCGGAAGGTTGTGGGTTCGATCCCCAGCTCCTGGTGCCACGTGTCGAAGTATCCTTGAGCAAGATACTGAACCCCGAATTGCTCCCGATGCCGTGCGTCGGTGTGTGAATGTGTATGAATGTTAGTTTCTGTTCGATGGACTTTGCCATCAGTGTGTGAAAGGGTGAATGTGGCACGTAGTGTAAAAGCACTTTGAGTGGTCGGAAGACTAGAAAGGCGCTATACAAGTACAGGTCCATTTACCATGTGATCTTAGCGGCTGTGGCTCAGAGGCAGAGCGGATCGTTCCTTAATCAGAAGGTTGTGAGTTCGATCCCTGGCTCCTGGTGCCACATGTTGAAGTATCCTTGAGCAAGATACTGAACCCCAAATTGCTGTGTCATCGGTGTGTGAGTGTGTATGAATGTTAATTCATACATACTTGCAATTACGATCATATATTGATCATGAATGTAAACTGACTGACCTTTCAGATGTTGAATCAGAATTTGAATTTCATGTCGAAGCGTCCTTTAGCAAGATACTGAACCCTGAATTGCCCCTGATCGGTGTGTGATTTTGTATGAATGAGTTAGCTTCTGTTTGATGGGCTTTGCCATCACTGAGTGAATGTATGTGAAATGTGGCACATATAGACATAGATCTGGCTGTCATCTGCATAGCAGTGAAAAGTAATGCCATATTTCCTGAGAATGGAACCAAGTGGGAGTAGATAGAGAGAAAATAAAAGAGGGCCAAGCACAGAGCCCTGTGGGACCCCACATGAGAGAGGAGCGGTGGAGGACACAGAGTCATCAAGGCTGACACAGAAAGTCCGATGTTACAGGTAGGACCTGAACCATTCCAGTGCTGTGCCACTGATGCCCACCCACTGCTCCAGATGATCAATCAGGATTTCATGGTCCACTGTATCAAATGCTGCAGTCAAATCTAAAAGTACAAGGACAACACAGTGACCAGAGTCAGTAGCTAAAAAGATTTCATTAAAAACTCTTAGCGCTGATTCTGTGCTGTGCAATGTTTTAAAACCGGATTGGAAAATCTCAAGAATATTTTGTTCATTTAAAAAGTCCATGAGCTGGGAATAAACAATCTTTTATGTAGATTTTAGAGAAGGAAGGCAATTTATAGATAGGCCTGAAATTTGCCAAAACAGTTGGATCCAGCCCAGGTTTTTTTAATAAAGGCTGCACAACTGCATGTTTAAGATTTACAGGAACTACTCCAGCGGACAGACTGCTATTAATAACTGTGAGACAAGATGGCCCAACAGTGGGAAAAACCTCCTTAAAAAATCGGGGTGGGACAGTATCATCCGGAGAACCTTAGGGCTTCAAATGACCCACAATCTCCTGTACAAAAGGCAGGGTCACAGGCTCAAACGTGTCCAACACAGCAGAGCAGGGGACAAACACTGAAGGATCAGAAGCAGGAGGTGAAATAAGTGCTCTGGTAGAAGTGACTTTATCAATGAAGTAGTGAAGAAAGTTCTCACACACAGCAGGGGAGGCCTCAATTCCAGTCTGTGGTGCAGTTGATAACTTTAAACAACACACGAGGCTTACGACAGTTTAAAAGAACGATATCAGAAAAATATTTTCTTTTAGCCTCTTTCACAGTGGATTGGTAATGACGCCAGCAATCCCTCAGTATTTGAAAAGACACTTGCAATTTGTCCTTTTTTCACTTTCGCTCAGCTCTTCGACAATCCTGTCTGGCAGTGCAGGTTGGCTCTGATTTAGCTTTCTGCTGCCTGGTTTAATGGCAGTTTGACAGGTGTCGAGAAACCATGAGTTAAGAGCCTCTGTATCCTCACACACAGACTCTGGAATGACACAGTTCTGACTGAAAACTGTGTAACAGTGGAAGGGTTAATAACTCGACATCTGCGAGCAGCAGTGCGAGGTTTAACTGTGTGACAGCAAACAGCAGCTTCAAAAAGTACAGGCATATGATCCGAGAAAAAAGCGTCACAGACCTCCAGGTTAAGAACAGGCAAACCATAAGATAAAACAAGATCAATTGTGTGACCACGTTCATGTGTAGGCCCAAGTACATATTGCACGAGATTGAAAGAGTTAATGATGTTTAAAAAATCTCATGCCAAAGGGTTTTCAGGGCAACACACATGAATATTACAATGTCCAACAATAAGGACCCGGTCATATTTGGGCATAATAGCAGCCAAGAACACAGAAAAATCTGTTAAAAAGTCTCTGTTATATTTGGGAGGCCGGTAGACCACAGCACAATGCACTGTGTGAGAATGCCCCAGCTCAAAGAAACTGAGTTCAAAGCTGGTGAATGAGGATGACAACAATAATTGTTTACATTTAAAGTCACTCTTAAAAACAGTCGCAATTCCTCCTCCTCTGCCAGACTTCCGAGGAGAGTTAAAAAAGCAGAACAGCTGACAGGGAGGCCCGACACAGTGGCTGCAGGTTCCCCAGATTTACTCTGCGCCAGCGGAGACAAAGAGAGCAGGGTCCGTGAGGATGGAACATCACATCCGAGCCGGCCACCTGTACCAACCAGGCAGCGACAAGGTCCAGCGAACGTCGAGAGATACAAAGGCGAGGCCCCGCTCCATATCCACCTCTATTAGGACATACCAACCTGGCCCTCAGCCTCACCAGACAGCCACTATGCTTACCCAGGCGGGGGTGCCGTTTTCGCCAGGAGTGCGGCAGTGGTATGTCGGGATGTCCGATAGGAAAGGAGGCAGAGTTTTTTGTCCATTATAATCAAAGTTGACCATATTTTTGGCGGAGATTCTCAGATCTAGCAGCTTTGGCGATCATACACCAGCAGAGTGTTGACGGTATGTGCAACAAGTGTTACAAGCAACAGAAACACACACAACAGTCAGAGCAGCTGACGGCCCGCCTCACACACTGGCGCCATCTTGCCTCTTCCAACATTCAGAAACAGCACATCGAATCAGAGGCCGGCAGAAATCTGCACAGAATCTACTGTTCACAAATTTAGAGTACCCTATTACCCCACTAGAACACTGCTGAATGCAGGGCTACTTGTGGTTCCTATAGTCTCTAAAAGTAGAACAGGAGCCAGAGCCTTCAGTTACCAAGCTCCTTTCTTGTGGAACCAGCTTCCTCTCTCTTTCTGCACTCATTCATGCATGTTACTAACTTCACTTCTTCCCCGGAGTTCTTGTGCTTTCTCGTCTCGCAGGTTCTTGTCGATCCTGGTGGAGCCTCCTGCCATGGTCCTGCTAGATTGCCATTGCCAACACTGTTGTTGCTGTGCACCTGTCTGTCTGTCTGTCTCTCTCTCTCTCTCTCTCTCTCTCTCTCTCTCTCTCTCTCTCTCTCACCCCAACTGGTCGAGACAAACGACCACCCACCTAGAGCTGGAGGATCTGTCCTAGGTTTCTGCCTTTTAACAGGCAGTTTTTCCTTGCCCTTGTCGCCAAGTGCTTGCTCATGGTGGTACTGTTGGGTCTCTGTAATTAATGTTTTAAAGAGTTCGGTCTAGACCTGCTCTATTTGAAAAGTGTCCTGAGATAACTTCTGTTATGAATTGGCGCTATACAAATAAAATTGAATTGAAATTGAATTGAATTTTTTTGTGTTGTACTTGAACAAACTCCTCATAGGGGATTTGTCGGATTTACTTCAAAATTGGACAGTACAGTCAAAACATTTTGCTGACTGAATGCCGTGCAATTTGCGACTGTACGTTGAAGGGCGTGTCCGTGGCGTGCTGTCAAAGTTGGACATTTTGAATCAAATGTCAAACTGTGATGCCATTCCCGGCATTTCAGGGCTTCTATTTTAACTAACTTCTCCTACAGGTTTTATCAGCTCGACTTCAAATTCGGTCAGTACAGTCAAAAATTTTTGCTGATGAAATGCCATGCTATTTGTGACTGTATGTTGAAGGGTGTGTCCGTGGCGTGCTGTCAAGTTGGCCATTTTGAATTCCATGGTCTTGTATTTGAACAAATTTGTGACTGCATGTTAAACCGTGTGCCAGTGATGACTTGTCAAATTCAGCCGATTCTCCATAAAACAGTATTCATAAC